TTATTGGCATCTTCCCCTTCTTGCTTTAAATTCTGGGGGGTTTAAGTTGTGGGTTTGGCTCTTTTTGGGGGCAGGATTTGTGTCTCTCAGGCTGGAGGTACCTGGGATTTTAAATCTGGGATTTTTAACTGAGCAGAGCTCAGCATGGAAACATCACCTTTGCCCTGGGAAGAGAAAGGAATCATTCCAAATTATGGCATTTTCCTTGGCCCAGAGAGCTGGGGATTAATGAGGTGACCGTGTCACCTGGTTAAGCAGGTGACCCTGCATTGGATCTGGCTGGGATGGAGTTAATTTTCTCCATGGATGGAGTTAATTTTTTCCATTTGGAGCTGGAAGAGTGCTGGTCACACACCAGTGTTTCAGCCACAAGCATCTCTCCAACATTCCCCCCTCACCAGCAGGCAGGATTTTGGGAAGGGGACACAGCTGGCCCAAGCTGATATTCCAAAATATATGTCTGTCCCACAATTAAAAGCTCGAGCCATGAGGGGTTTTTTTCCCATCTTATTTTCCCCCTCCTCTGTCCTGCTGAGTGATGGAGCCCCTGGATCCAGCCAAGGAGAACCCAGCATTCCTCATTGGAACAGCAGGAATGATGACTGAGGAGTTTGGGAGGAGGAGGAGGAGGTGGGAATTGGAAAGGAAGCATTTTGAGCTGTAGCAAAACCTCTCATCCTGCCTTGGGATAATTTACTCCAGGACCTGATTTAGGACTGACATGGATGGAAGTTCTGGAGGTCAAAAACTGGCTGGAAGGAAAAGGTGTGGGAAAAGGAGGCTGGAATTGGTGGGGAAAACTGGGTGTCTGATGGAGGTTGGGGATGTCCCACCCTATTTAACATCTCCTTAATGAGGGGGAGGGGGTTGGAGGAAAACCAGCCTGCCAATAAAAACTAGGAGGTGTTGCAGCCATGGGAGAGAAGGGGGATATAATTCCCAGGGGATACACGTGGAGATATAATTCCCAGGGACATGTTAATTGTTCCACCTTAGATTACTTTTTGAAGCTCCCTATTGATTTCAATGGAGAATTTGGCTGTGAGGGCTCCAGAGAGGATTCCTCATCCCTGGAAGTGTCCAAGGCCAGGTTGGACGGGGCTTGGAGCAACCTGGGATAGGGGAAGGTGTCCCTGCCCATGGCAGGGGGTGGGACTGGATGGGCTTTAATGTCCTTTCCACCACAAACCATTCCATGATTCTGTGACAACCCATGAGAACCATGTCACCAGAAGGTGAGAAAAGTGGGAATCACATGGATTGGAAACTCTCTTAGAAAAGCAAGGAGTCCAAGCTGAGTTTGCAGCTTGTTGCAGCAGCCAAACATCCTCCCCTCTGCCCTCCCCCAGCACTGACTCCACAAAGCAACAGGAATTTTGAGGACAGGGGATAATGAGGATCCTAAAACACAGAGAGGGAGCTCTGTCCTCCCTATAAATCCATCAGGAGACTCCCCAAAATGTCTCGGAGTCACGGACAACCGAAGGGCTACGAGGAGGCTGTAAATAATTGAGGAGAGCAAACAGTGGGAGTGGTGAGAGCTGAGGCCATAAAGGGAAATCTCAGGGAGCAGTGGGATGGAACTGAGTCAAATAAAACACAATAAAGCACAGTATCAGGAGGGTTTTGTTGTTTTTTTTTTTTTTTCTCCAAGAGTTAGATTTGTTCAACTGTGAAATAGCCTCCCAAGGGAAGGGAACTGTTCCTTCAGTCATTTAAATGTGGAGAGGACAAAGCACTGATAACATCCAATGGAACAGTTGTCTTGCCTTGGCAGAGAAATGGCCAGATATCATCAAAGTCAGATTTTTTGCATCTCAGATGTCAGAGATGCTGGTGGGGAGCTTTTCTCCCCCCATTCTGTTATCACTGAGGTAAAAAAAAAAAAAAAAAAAAAAAAAGAGACCTTTTTTTTTTCCCCTAAGTGGAAAAACACCAAGTTCCTGAAAGGAGCAGAAGGCCAAGAGCAAATGTTGCCACCGAGGTCTTGTGTGGCTGGAAACAAAATTCCCTCTTTTGTCTGTGACAGATTGAACGTGGAACTTGAAGAGAAGGAGAATTTATGTGTAAGTGCATGTGACAAATTCGTTGTCACCAGCCCCGTGTGGTTCCTGAGCAGGGGTTGTTTTCTTGGGGAAGGGAGTGATGAGTGGGGAAAGAATTCATCTGCTCTGTTCCAGGTGGGTCAATGTTGGCTCCTGTCTCAAAGCCTTTTTTCCCCACTGTTTTCCATTTCAAAAGTCCAAAGAAACTGTGGCTGCCCCATCCCTGGAAGTGTCCAAGGCCAGCTTGGGGCTTGGAGCAACTTGGGATTGTGGAAAGTGACCCTGCCCGTGGCAGGGGGCTGGAAATAAGGTTCTTAAAGTCCACAATTGACTCCTCCAAACACAGCATCCTGTTTGTCTCCTCAGATTGCCAGTCAGGAATTCAGGTTAGTTCCACTGCCAAAAACATTGAACAGGGAAAGTTTAATATTCCTAATTGGAATGTGCTGTGATCTCTGATGGGGTTTCACGCATAGGATTTAGCTGAAATCTCTATTATCTGATGTTTTGGATGACTGGAAAGAAGATCCTGGATGCTTCATTCCCCTCCAGTGCTCCAGGCCTGGACCAGCTGGTGTGTGTGGATTCCACCCAGGAATTCCTGGGCAGGATTCCACGTTGGAGAGTCCCAACGTGTCAGCAGTGGCTGGTGAGCTCAGCTGGGATTGCAGGGGACAAACAGGCCTTGGGGACACCAAATGACCCCTCCTGCAGTTGTGTCAAACATCACAAGCTGCATGATTTTAAGGCTGGGGAGAACTTGGCCCTTTTTCCCTTCAAGGGCTCTCTCAAAGTGCACCAAGAGTTCCGAGTTTAAGAGAATTTCATGTCCTGCCCACCTGTGTTGTCTCATCCTGGCGGAATTCCACCTCGGATCCCTTCCTTGCTGCCTAACTGATGTGTGACAGGGGGTTTTGATGAGTTGATCTGAAGCCCAGTGACGTGTTTGGGGCTGTTTTCCCCCCCCAGGACCATCGTGCAGTCGGATGAGAAGCTGGTGATCAGCGCGTCCTGGGCCAAGGACGACGACATCAGCAGGCTCCTGAAATCCCTGCCCAACTGGAGCAACATGGCCCAGCCCAAGCAACTGAGACCCAAGAGGGAGGAGGAGGAAGACTTTATAAGGTAAAATATAGTTGGTAGACGGGGGTTTCGAGGTGAAACCTCTGGAAAGCGTTTCCCGCTGGAAATAAAGGATTTGTGGGGTTTTCGTAGCTGTGGTGCCCCCAGGTGTGAGTAAAATCATGGAATCATTTAGAAAATGGAAAAGGTTTTAAGATTATCTAGTCCAAATGTTTCCCCAGCACTGCCAAGGCCACCACTGACCCATGTCCCCAAGTGCCACATCCAAATGGCTGCTAAATCCCTCCAGGAATGGGGATTCCACCACTGCCCTGGGCAGCTGTGCCAGGGCTGGACAGCCCTTTCTGGGAAGAAATTTTCCCCAATATCCAACCTAAACCCCTCCTGGTGTGATTTCTGCTCCACTCTGTTGTTCAGACAAGGCTATTTGAGGAATCATGCCTGTGATCCCAGTCAGGGGAGTGGCCGGGATTTGGGGAAGGAAAGAAAGGATTGGGTTTAATTCCCAGAGATCCTTGTTCTGCTTGATGGTTCTGCTCTAATCACCCCATAAGATGAAGAGAGCAGCAAATGCAACCTGAGGGAGGGGCCAACTGGTTGTACTGGGCAGGAATCCCCAAAACTGGTGCTGCCAAAGTTGTCTTCCCATTGGAGCCATGACCTGGTGGGGTTTTCCCTCCATCCCAACTCCAAATGAAAAATCCAATCAAATGAATCCAATGAAAAATAAAACTTATAAAATAAAAAATGAAATGAGTCAAAGGAGAAATTCTGGTGCCTCCAGAGGGGGGTTCTTTCACAGGCAACTTGTTGTCTCCAAACCAGATTGTTCCTACCTTTTCCAGGCAAGTGAAAGCTTTGAGGAGGCAGATTGTGCCTTTCCCTGCCCACTGGGAATGGCTCAGGCTCTGAATTCCTTGAAGGAACAGCTCCTCTGTGATTCCAGGGAGTCAAAAAAGCCTGGCTGCACATTCCCATTGCTTTTCATCCCTTCCTTGATTGGCATTTGGCTGGGAAACGGGAGGAGGGAGTGAAGCCGTTGGAAATAACGGGTCTGATTTGCCCAGACTGGCATTTTCCCTGTTCCCTGAGTGGGAGCTCAGAATCTTGGGATGATGCAGCCTGGAGAGAGGAGGGAATCTGTCGAGTCATGGGAATGTTTGCTCCTCCTGCAGCAGGGATGAGCAGCTCTGCCAGGCTTTTAAAAGTGGGAGAGGGAGGATACAGAGCTGTCCCTGAGTTGGGATTCATCAGTTTAATCCTCATCTCCACCTTTGCCTTTGAATTTATCCCAAAAGTACCCCAAAAAATAACCCCCAAACCACCCCAGAAATACCCCAAAAACACCTCACAAAGTCACCCTAAAAACCCACCCCATAAGTGCCCCAAAATCACCCCAAAAATACATCCAAAATCATCCCAAAATACCCCAGAACACCCCGAAATACCCCAGAGATACTCCAAAAGT